AAGTACTCAGTGAATAATATATAATATTGAGCATATTCTAGAGTTTTGCATTTATCTCCAGAACTGTACAAAATTCAGCAAGTCAATTATTTCTTTTAAATTATTTGTTTAGTTTATTTTCAGGCTTTCTAAAGATTGAGATCCTGATATTTTGTAAGAAAATGTCTTTTTTCAATGGTTTTCCATCTGTTAATTTTACAAGACATAGAAGGACTTCAATCATATTACTTGCAATCCATGCTGTAAATAAGAATGTGGAGAGAGAAATACAAATTATAAAATAATTCTGAACAGATAATAAGCCCAAGTCAAGTCTATTGAGTGACAACCTCTCTGTCAGTCTCTAGAATAAACCTTGTCTAGCAATAAGCAGATACACAGGTGAGCAGGCACATGCTAACCTTATGAATTCACTTGAAATTATCCTTTCAAGGGATGTGTGGCTAAGATGTCTAACACTGTATTTCTTTCCTAATATTGGATTAGAAAACATGTTCTGCAAATTTTAATGATATAGAAGCATCCTGGGACTCTTAATTCATAAACAAAGTTCTTTATAAGCAGTTTAGAAGAAACACTCACTATCCTTGGAGTGAAAGGTGGACTTTGATTGACACAGCTAATCTACCATACAATGCCATTTTAAAAGATGTCATAGTCTGAGACAGAGGAGGGAAAGCCTCTGGAGAAAGCTCCTCTACAAATTACATCCACAGCTCAAGGATCTGATAATTCCACTGCATCTCCAGGTCTAGAGTCCTTTTCAAAGCCAGAGGAAAAAATGCACATCTAACCGTTCTAAAGTCAGAGACATGTTTTGGCTTACCATTTAAAGTGCCATTTATTATTGCTAATACATACAAAAGACAAAAGAACTGCAAAAGTTTCTTGAAGCTGAAATGCTCAGGGCTCTGAGCAACCTGATCTAATTAGCAGTGTCCCTGCTCACTGCAGGGGGGTTGGACTAGATGACCTCTAGGGGTCCCTTCCAACCCAAAACATTCTATAATTCTATGATTCTGTGATTCCATGAAAATTAACTAGAAGGGAAAAATAAACAGACAGACCAGAGAAAGACTGTGGGTGAAAAGCACAGAAGTATTAGGAGAAAATGTTTTTCCCTCTTCTGTTCAGTATGATGATGGCATAACAGTTTTAACTTGCTTATTTACCATTTATTAAGTAATAATGTATATTGCCATCTGGCTATGTCTACATTAGAAAGCAGTGAAAATGAGGAGCAAAGCAGTCAGCACAGATGACCCCACACCACACACAGCCGTGGGGTTCCTTCTGATGGTCCCACAGGACCAGTGCCAAGGAATGTCTGCAGACCCGTAAGGGCTCTCCAAGACACCCTCTTCCAGTTCAGCTTCATATGACCTGCAGTTGTCATGGCTGGCATGCTTTGTGTCAGGCAGAAGCTGGAGAGGAGAAAATGCCCTTCCTTGGGAAGTTGTGCTGAGCATGTACCACTGCAGGAACTTCAGGCTGGCAGAAAGATGCTCTGCAAGCATCATGCAACTGCTAGAAAACTTCTGGAAAGAATGGGAGGCTTTCCTAATTCAAGGAGATGTGCAAACAAGCCTTAAAGGTCATGCTGAGGATTAAACACTGCTGGCACCTAGAAGGGGCCATTTAAGCCAGAGATTGAGAATGACTGTACTAGAGAGCAAGGCAGAAGAAATTACATATATTCTTGCATATGTATAGTAAGAAGGGAGCAGGATTTTTAAGTCTTTGTTTTGCCTAGAAAAAACAAAATTTTATCTGGTGAAAAAAATGGTTTGTTCTTCAATTAGTTTGTCATCTAATCAAACAGACCTTTAGAGATTGGGAGCCTTTTGGCTGTCTTTAGGTTTGCTTGTTTCATAGACAAAAAAAGGTCTCAAGACTGGCCAAATACAAATCTCCTTGTACTTATTACTATAAAACAAGCATCTACCTATGTCCTGGTTTCAGCTGGGATAGAGTTAATTTTCTTCATAGTAGCTAGCATAGTGCTGTGTTTTGGATTTAGTACCAGAAGAATGTTGATAACACACTGATGTTTTCAGCTGTTGCCAAGTAGTGCTCAGACTACTCAAGGACTTTTTGAGCTTCTCCTGCTCGGCCAGGTGCATAACAAGCTGGGAGGGAGCACAGCTAGCACAGCTAACCCAAACTGACCAAAGAGCTATTCCATACCATATAACGTCATGCTCGGGGGGGGGTTAGTTAGTTCGGTCGGTCGCTCGCGGCTCGGGGAC